TGACAAAAAAACTTTTATCAATGTTAATTGTATTTTTAAGTAATGTGAGAAAAGCTGCTTGCCCTATAGGAGGGTTTTCCTCTAATAGCAATAACAAACAAAATATATTTTAAAAATTAAAAATATGTAAAAAGCTGGCCTTTGAAAATACTATAATGCCCTAGTTAAAGTGCTCTGATGCCTCAGGTACTAGAATTTTCTGAGGTCAAGGTTGAAAATAGAATATAAGATTAAAGCTCTTTCTCCCATCTCATTCGCTTGTTTTAACATTACCACCTAGAGCTTGAGAAATTAGTACAGAGTTTCTGAAAGAGGCAAAGAGTCTGAGGGTACACTTCAAGCTCTGGTTTAGCCAGAAATTAAGAAAGTCAAATAATCTTTCTGAATACCAGGCTCTTTCTCTAGAGAAGCAGATTCCTGGCAATACTTTATAAAGACACCCTTATTATAATAGATAGTCTTTAAATGGTTATGTAACAATAGAAAAGAATAAATTATAGTGTTCACCTATATTCAAGCATGCTCAATGCTAAATACTCCTACATATTACCATAATATTCTCGGCCAATTCAATTCATTGATCCAGTTTTTGATTCATTAATTTACTCATTCATTCAATAAACATTTATTGAGCACTCCGTATGTGCCACATAACATGATACAGCACTAAAAAGAATGTAGTTCTTGTTCTTTCAGAACTTACAGTTTAACAGAGAAGATGAACACTAAGTAATTAATTATCATAAAATTGGATAAAGATTATGATGGGAAAATGACTTCCTTCAGGGTGATGGGTGATGAAGTCTTCAGTGAGTTTTGTGTCTTCTAGCAAGAGTGATTAATAAAATGCTTACTTATTCTGCTGAAACTCTGTGGAAAATTAGGTAAATAAATTCTTGGCACCAAGAGTAGCCCAATAACTATTCTCCCTAACCTCTCTAACAATCACAATAGAAAATATTCAAAATTCAATTAAATCTCATTTTATTGATGTTTTAGTCAATGCTTAAACATATATTTACTCAGCTATGCAAAAAGGAGAGAGATTCAACAGTGTCCTAAGAAAAACAAAATGATGGCTCATAAAAAAGTTTTCAAAATCCTTAATCAATGCTTTTCTCATTCATTTGATTTTTTTAGATTAAGAGTCCTGTTGTAAATTGTAGTTCAATTACATTTTCATCTAAGCTACTTATGTTTTATTCAAATAGAATTATATTTATATCCAATATAAATTTCTCCTTATGCCTAACTCATCTTTGTCTTCATTGTCTTTAAAATATTTGTGGCTGCAAGAAATATTCAAATCAATGACCCCTCAAAAATACACAGAAAGGACATACTTGTCACTCACGAAGCAGCAAAAACTGGTAAAACATCCATCTAAGATATGACATTCAAAGATGTAGCTTCATTAGTGTTATACCCAAAAAGATGAGAGTGCAGAGCATCCAGGCCCATGCATGTGCTACTGTTTTTGTCATTGTTTGCTTCACTCAGTTATCTGTTGCACAGAATAGCACAGGGATGCGAAGTCAGTAGAAGGAAGTTCTTGGTAATAGCAGAAATACTACCAGAAGCAATCCACATATATCTGCAATCTAGTTACAAGATGAATGTATAAGAAAGAAGGAAAAGGTAAATGCACTAAGGTTGCATTTTCGTTCAATCTGTGACTTGCTAGTCAAACTTATTTTGGTTGTAGAAAGGCTCACCTCTAAAAAGCAATTGCGGTAATAGCTGTGTGTTTCAGTATTGTTTTTCACTCCTCTTGATCACCCAAGGTTTCTTGTACATAAAAGCAAAGGAGAGAAATAGGATGGTAGGCAATTTACCATTTCTCTGAAAACTGCAGGAAGAAAAAAAATTTTTCAAGTAATACCTGAGAGAAAACCTAGTTTCCTTTTAGTCATGTTCCATTCTTGCTTTTGTGTTTACAACTTATTCACAAATAAATGATCCCAAGTTTCAGCCAGAATTTGAATCTCAAGTATTCCACTCACTGCGAAAAGGAACATAAAGGCACAGAAAGATGTAACCAACTTTTGCTGTGACAAAATGTTCCCTTGAAAACTGAATAAACTTATTGGTGCATCCTCAGCAAGCTTTACACAAAATTTGACTGAGAAGAGCCTAATTCTTGGCAATAAAAAACTGACCTTTGTAATTCCTTTTTTTCTTCTGTCTATGAAGTAGAATATTCTTCATGCTATTAAGGGGAAAAAGTAATTTCAACCCAGCCAACATTACCCATCTCCTAAGTGCACAGCACTGCACTAGGTCCTTAGATATAAAGATAATATAACCAACCTCAAGGAGATTTTGTTTTGTAGAAGAAATGAAAAGATTAAAAAACTATTAAATTCATGGAGAACATACAAATGAGAATGCGTATTTTATGATAGGTAATTTCAAATAAGACTTTTTGTTCTTTTTTGAAGACAGATGTGTAAAAATCACCAATGATGATCTTGTAATGCTGTATGTCCAATGCACCCTTGGGCGGTTAGGAGTTGGCCTGCTAGAACACAGCAGGGCAGTCGCCTTTGGTGATTAGCTTAGGCTACGTAGGAACCTAACTGGGGAGGCAGCCCAGGAGGTAAGCAAAAGGGACAAAGTATCAGAAGTCCCAGGGAAAGTTGGAGAGACATTAAGTAAGGATCAGAGCATTTCTGAGAGAGATGAAGGAGGACTGGGAATGATTTAGTCAGAATTCTTCTGGCACAAGTGAAAATAATAAAACTTCAACTGGTTTAATCAAAAAATATAAGTTATTGGCTTGCATAACTGAAAAGTTCAGACCATAACTGAAAAGTATAGACAAGGCTATGCCCATGGGGTTATCATGACTCCATTTCTCACTTTCTTCCTGGCTCTGCACTCCTCTCTGTTGGCTTCTTTTACAGGCGAGCTGAGGCCAGTGGCAATAATGGGCTATCACCACTCTCTGAGTTTATATTCAATTTAACAATCCAACCCAAAAGAGAGAAGTTTCTTTCTCCAAAGGGTCTGGCAATTGACGCATTAATAAATGAAAGTACTGTCAATACTTTCCTATATTAATGACATAAAAGCCCTACATAGATATGGCACAGTCTTGTATCCCCATCCCAAAATCAATCTTTGTGTATCTGTTAGTAATTGTATTCAGCTGCCATTTAGACAATGATTAGAAGAAGTCAGAAGGCTATTTCTCCCTCACTTAGAAAGCCCAAAAGCATATAGCCCAGAACTATTATATCAACTCCATAACATAAGGTGTAAGGACTGGAAAGAAAGACACTAAACAACCATTGTCCATATTTGATACAATTATCTGAATAGAATATATGACATATTTTACACAGAAATCATTATAAGTATGTGATTAATTGGCAAGATTGCTGGATATAAAAAATAATATATAATAATCAATTGCATCCCTATATAGCAGCAATATAGAGTGGTAAAATCATATTAAATAAAATATATCATTTTCTATAGTAACACAAAATTAAGGTATTAGACTAATCATAAGTGATTTGGATAACATTAATAGAAAAATGACCAAATTTTATTTAAATCAATTTAAACATTGGAGAGATATACATATTCATGGATAAAAAGATTTACTAGCATAAAGCTACCAATAGTCCCCAAATAAATCTAAAGGTAGATATAGTTCTAATTAAAATCCCCAACAGGGATATTTTTTCAAGGAACCTACCAAAAAGAAGTATATATAAAAGCAATGAATGAAGAGATTTTTTTCTAGGAACCTGTCAACAAAATTTATATGAGAAGGGCCAGAACCAAGAATATGCAAGACACAAGCTATTTGCCCTACAGACACTAGGCTACTAAGAAACTAAAGTAGTTAAGAAGCATAGTACTGGGATAGAGATAGCAAAATTGACCAGTGAAACAGAGTGGAAAATCCACATAGATAAATATATCAATAAATTTACATTGACTATCACGGGGAAATAAAGTTAGTGTTCAATAAATAATACAGGAAAAATTATATTCTCATATAGAAAAAATTAAATTGGATCCTTATATAATAAAAAACTGAAATCAATTCCAAATAAATACTAAATCTGAATATGTGGAGAAAAACTTTAAAACTTTTAGGAGTAAAAGACTTTATGGCATTAATATAGGAAAATATTTCTTAAACTGACTCAAATATGCAGGAAAGAGTGATAGTTTGATAATACAGTACACTTTAATCTGTACATCAAAAGACTGAAACAAAGTGAAAAGTCCAAACTCACTGTAAGAAGATTATTTTCAAATTGAATAGGTGTCAATGAATTGTGATTCATATATATAAATGACTTTTTAAAATCTATAAGAAAAGCACAAATAATTTAATGGCAAAATTGATGACATATATGGTCAATTCACAAAATAAGAACTTTACGTGAATAAGAACAAATAGATATATTAAAAATTATCACCAATTACCAAAAAATGCATATTAAAACCATAATAAAATACTATTTTGTGCTGAATAAATTATGAAAAAGATTAAAAGTCTGACAATAGAAAATGCATGTAAATGAGTTAAAATTCTCATATATTACCAGTAGAGTGCAAATTTCATAGCCAATTTGAGGTGTAATTGGATATTGAAAAATAGAAGATGACTTAGCAATTTAATTCTAGGTATGCACTCTAGATAAATCCTTACATGTGCAAAAGATGTATACATGAATGCGCATAGCAAAAGTGTTTATAAAAGCAAAAAGAAATGTATGAATAACATAAATCTCTATGAACAGAAGAATATAAATATATTGTGGTATATTCATGCATTTGAACATGATACAGAAGTGCAAATTAATACACTCATTCTGCAAATGTCCACATAGGTACATCTTAAACACTCAATATTAAATGAAAGGGCAAAGACAGAAGATACATACATGCAGTATGTGTTTTGCACATACATGCATAAAAATTTCATAATACCTTTTAGTCAGTTCTGGCTGCTATCATAAAATACCACAGGCCTGTTAATTTAAACAATAGAAAACTATCAATATTTTTCACAGTTCTGCAGGCTGGAGGTCAAAGATCAAAATACCAGGATGGTAAAGTTCTGGTGAAGACCGTCTTCTGGTATGCAGACTGCCAACTTTCATTGTATCCTTATATCATATATCTGAAAGCAGAGGGGGAGAGAAAGTAAGCTCCTTGTATCTTTTTATAAGGGCACTAATCCCAGTCATGAGGGCTCCATCCTCATGACCTAATTACTTCCCAAGCATTCCCCCACCCCCCAATACTATCACACTGGGGATTAAGATTTCAACATAAGAACTTGTCAGGGGTGGGGGGACACAAACACTCAGACCACAGAAAATAGTCAAATAGATCTCTAGATTTTTAATGTGTGTGTGTGTGTGTGTGTATTTGGTAAAAATACAAAGCTATCTTAAGGAATGATACCCACAAGATGAGGATAATATTTATCTCTAGGAGAAGAGAGTGGAATGGATTTGGGAAAAGATACCTAGGGAGACTCAGCCCATATCTATGATATTTTATATTATTTTATCAGAGTGGTAGTTAATAGGCATTTAATTCATTATTATCAATACATTTTTATATCTGATATATTTGAATACATTTAAAAAGAAAATATGAATCAGTTACTGAATTCATAAGAAGGTTGAGTGGAATTAGAATACAAAAAATAGATAATAACAAACTGTAAAATTTAGATGCAATATTATAAATTAGGGGTCTTCCAACTGCAACTCATAGGCTAAATCTAGCTCACTATCTGTTTTTGTTAATAAAGTTTTATTGGAACACAGTCATATTTATTTCTATATTGTCTGTGGGTACTTTTATACTAAACCTCAGAGCCAAAGAGCTACAACAGAGACAAAATGGCCTCCAAAGCCTAAAATATTTATTATCTGGCTCTTAACAGACAAAGATGCCCAAATTCTGCTCTAAATGGTTGACATAGACTTTGATTGATGTATAATAACAAATTTTTGTTTACTGCATACCTACTATAAATAGGCAGATTAAATGTATCATCTCAGTTAACTTAATATTTGAGAGAATGCTAATATTATCCCCATATTAAAGGTGAGAAAACTGAGACTCAAAGAAATTAAATAACTTGTTCAATATCTTTCTGAGTATTCAATGACAAATATAGGTTTCTCTGATTTAAATTAAAACATACTGACTTAAACCATTATGGAAAAATCAGAAACTTATTCTAAATCTTTTTCTTTTCATACTATACTTTTTTAGTTTATCAAAATAGAGGAGGAAGAGTAAGACTTAAAATGTAAACTATATAGAAATTTGAAGTTATAAAGAAATATAAATTTTGTTCCAAATAATTAGGCATAAAAAATTTTTCCCAATAATCACACATCATATACACATGTAATTTTTTAATCAGTCCTTAAGAGATACAGAGACTCTATGTTAGCTTACCAGTATACAGCCAATTATATGATACTATATGACTCAATAACTCAACAATTCTATTGATTATCTGTTACATACAAATCACTGACACAAATCTATAAAAATTGCTTGCACAAATTAGATTTTCTATAATGAGGTAGAAGATACAAAGAAAATATTTTAAAAACTCCCCAATAGACTAAAAGTGTCTTGAGAATTAGAATTGTGAATGTATTCAATACAAATGACTAGGGAATGAATGCTTATCAAGTTGTTCAAACAATATTTTAAAAAACGTTACACCTAACACAAAAAGCTTTGTACCAATTTGGAGAAAAGAGAAATTTAGCAAAATTGAGGGGTCTCAAGAAAATTACAACATTCTTACAGGCTAGCTAAAGAGTGAGAGAAGAAAATGTAAAAGGCAAACACAAGAAAGTTGTAGTCTGGACATGAGGGTACTCTAGCTGTGAGTCTTAAAACTTCAAAGAGTGGGAGTATGGAAGAGGGAGGGACATCAACGTGAAAGAGAAGAAAGTATTAAGAAATACATTGGTTCATGAAATTCACTTGGCCATCAGATGATATTTTAAGCCAAAGTCAATTTATTTGGTTGCCAAAGGAAAGAGATGAGAGGTAGAGACAGCAACCATTAAGATGTTAGGTAAGCTGATTTGATAATAAAAGTAGCATGTTTAATATATTTATACTGAAAAAAATAGCTCTTCTGAAAAATTATTTAATGTCTTGAAATTAGAATTTCTGCATTTTTGTTTATTCATTATTTTGCAAATATTAGAAGTAATACCTGGGCTTTATTTCAGAAGAAAATACATAACATCTTAAAGATAGAAGAAAACAAAGTGATAATATTGGTCAAGTTGAAATAAACTTTTTAACCTTTTCACATTTGTGCTACATTTTGAATTATTCTTAATATATTTCCAGCAACCAGTCTCCATCATACACTAAGATGGAAGAAAAATAATCAAAGTCCCAAAGCAAGTCAAATGCTTGAGGACATCCATACCCTTGGTGCTATATTGAGAGGGATGGGATTTAGGAGAACCCCAGAATGCATTTCAAGAGAAAATTCCTGAGGGTCTTTGTGTGTGTAGTGCAATAAATACCTTCTTCATGCAAAGCCTCTGCTGCTGGTGTTGAAGAACCTGGAAGCAGGGTCAGTTGTTCCTGACATTGCTGTCTTCCACACATGCATTAAAAAGAAACATCAAACTAGCAAGCAAAATTCTTGCTGTATTTGCTGTGTTTTAAATGATGTATTCCTTTTTTGTTGTTGTTGTTGTTGCCTGGGCTAGAGTGTCATGGTGTCAGCCTAGCTCACAGCAACCTCAAACTCCTGGGCTCAAGCAATCCTTTTGCCTCAGCCTCCTGAGTACCTCTGATTACAGGCATGCTCCACCATGCCAGGCTAATCTTTTCTATATATTTTTAGTTGGCCAAATAATTTCTTTCTATTTTTAGTAGAGATGGGGTCTTGTTTTTGCTCAGTCTGGTTTCAAACTCCTGACCTCAAGCGACCCTCCTGCCTTGGCCTCCCAGAGTGCCAGGATTACAAGCGTGAGCCACTATGCTCAGTCAGACTAATCTATTCTTTCTTGTGTATATATAAGAAGAGATGTGCTTAAGTCTCCAGAACAATTCTTTCAGAAGGGCCTTTGGTGAAGAATGTATGAGAAAAAAATTCTAGTCAGGCAAGCAATGTTGATTTCAGAAACTTAGAAAGTTCCGAAATGACATGCAGACATTAGTCATTGAATACCGTACAACTTATGCTTCTTGGACTTTAGGATATTGAGCTATTGCAATATATTACACATTTTCTTTGATTTTCAAAATCTCTAAAAAAAGAAAAGGTCACACAGCAATCACTAGCTATGTGACCTTTGGACAGTCACCTTACTTGATTGGATGTTGGTTTCCTAATGCAGAAGGCGAAGGAATTTTACATGATCTACACCTACAATCTTCTCTTTTTATGAGCCGAAGTAGCTTGTTAATAATACAAATATATCTCAGGATAATTACAGAAAAGTATAAAACTTCAATAATGTAAAACGACCTCAGCATGGTATCTCAGGAGCAATGACTGGTTTGTCATTTAAGTGCAAATATTTCAAAGCTGGATTCCAAAAAGCTGTGGGGCAAAGCTGTGCTAATATGTACTCCAGGCATCAAAACCCTGTAAGGGATTATTTTAGAGAAATAGGAGATTTAACTAAAATGTGAAAATAAGATTACTTGAAGTGGAAGAGGACTGAAAATGTGGGGAAAAAATATCTTAGGTGGAATTAATTTAACTTTGGGAAAAATCTGAGTGAGGGATAAGAAAAGAGGGTGTGGATGGTATTGCCCAGGGCAAAGAATTCATTCCCTTGAAAAGAAAAAGAGCAGGTGAAATACACTTTAATATGCTATTTCCAAAAGGAAAGAAGTGAAATAAAATTCCAGTGAGCATATATATTAAAAATATATTATGTAAGACTACATTTACTCATAAAACCACTGTTTCATATTATCGATTTTGTACTATATTTTATCTGGGCAATAATTACAAATGTAATAGTAAATTTAGGTTTGAATGTTTTAATTTTATTCCAATTATCTCTAAATGTTTACATTTTAGAAGGAGAAAGGAATTGTGTTAGTGGCTAAATAATCCAGTTATTAGGGATTTAGATAGGTCTGGTGTCTTTAAAGAGGCTCTCACTTGTAACCTAAGGGCATGGTGATATTTCACTCCAGAACAGATAGTGAGATTGCAAGGCAAGACCTGTTGAGCTAACCAGAGAACTGGCAGCTAAAATGAATCCTTTTGAACTGAAAGGATGCATCATGCTACAGAGTATGATTTCTTCCCCGATATAAATTAAACTCTTTCTAGCAGGACTTGTACAGGGAAATATTTTAAACTAGAAAACAAAACTTGATTCGCTGTGTGACTCTGGGTAAATTCTGTATTTTCCCTCAGTGTTCATAGCTTGATTCTTTCAGATAAATTCTGTTCACCAGTCCAGATTCACTTTCCACCTTTGCCATCTGCCCTGGGGTGTCTACCCTCATAGGTTACACCAATAGGATCCCGTTGCCTTGAGACTGTGATGGAATGTGGTGAAAAGGACTCTGGGCAGAAGAGCCCAGGGCAGAAGGAGAGTTAGGATCCTCATGCCCCTGTCTGGGTCCATGGATCAAGGGTAGCTGCATCTCTCTGCCTATTCTACCTAGGTTTTTCCTTCCCAGTTCTGCTAACTGCTTGATGCCCCTCATCTTCACGTTTACTGGAGGTAACAACTGTCTGCTGTCACCAGAATCTAATTTCTGTGCTAAATGAGGTTTGCCCATGCCACTCACACAATTGGAAATAGTTCCTTTGTAAATAAACTCTCTGCGTTATCTTAATGTGAGAGTGTCATTGTTTCCTGCTGGAACCTTGAGGGATCCACCTCATTTGAAATGTAGATAATACTAATAATCATCTTGTGAGAATGTTAGGAGCATTGTGTAGTGCTGTACTGGTGGCACAAAGTCCTCAATGTTGCATGTTCATTAGAGAATATATCATGAGGTAAGATGTAAATGCTAATGTTTTATTTAGGGAGGAGGAATCCCTACCAGCAGAAGTGAGGGGGGAGGGAACAGAGTCCAAGAAGGATGGGAAGCAATGGAGACATGATTTGCCACCTCATGGGCACTTCTTCATGGCAA